ACGTGGAAACTCGCGCTTGTGCGTTTTGTCTTCGTCGTGGCAGCATTGGACAAACATTTCTCAAGAATCACCGTTGTTTGTGCATCTCGTTAATAACCAAGAGACACTGAAGCAGCAGCCTTGATCCTTGAATCCAAACTGACATCTGAGACGCAGAATCTCGATTTTCTCGTGAATAATAACGTTTGAAAGAGAAATATCACGAATGATTTCTCGGAATTGCTGCACTTCTGTTTCATATTAACACCAATGTTTAATCCTTCAATGCTCAAAGCCTTTTATTGTTATTTGCAAATTATACGTGTATACACATATGTATATGTACATATACACACGCACGTGATATATATGTTATATATATCATAGAGTGTTTCATTTTTATCCCGCTAAAGAACATGATGTCAACATGTTCTGCGTTTAAAGCTAGGAAAAAAAGCGTTATGTACATATCTAAGTATGGAGTAAATGCTTTATTAAAAAATTACGACAAAGATACCAACATTACAATTAATTAGTTCCTCGTTCGATCGATTGATCATACTTTCAAAGTTCTTGTTAAAAGACGGTTTTTATAAGTATGAAATTGAGTCACTTACCTTCTTCCTCTATTTTTTTAAATGTTATATGAATCCTTGGCACGAATTAATTATCCAATAAACTATTTCTTTCAAAGCTCTCCACAAGTGAAAATCCAGATGTATGTGCATAATATTTATTACAACATACATATACACAATAATATACGTAGTTAAAATAATCGATGATACTAAACAACAACTTTTTACAGTTAAATTTAATTTTCAACGTTCCCATGTCAAACGAGAACCAATCATTACAATGACAATGACAATGACAATTACAATGATTATAACGTTTGACAATCATTTATAATTTTGGTATTTTTGTCACAATTTCGTAATAATACGAACTAGGCATTTAATAAATTTATTTTTCTCATTATTGGTTATAGAACACTAATACCGTTTGAAAAATGAAACACCCTTTATATACATGTACACACACACACATATATATATATATATATTTTCACCTAAGATCCATCTTTTTTTTTTGAATTATCTTCATAAAAATATGAAATTTCCAACACGTAATAATAATAATTATGTTATTAAATGTATCACAGTCCTTCAAATTTTATATACCAATGTTAGTTTAAAATGTGAAATCAAAGTTCAGAGTATTCTTTAAAAATAAAAAAAAAAAAAAAAAAGAATACGATCGATTGAACGTAGTAATTAACATTAACTTTGTAAGAAATATTTAATGTGCTGAAAAAATGTAAAAACCCCTCCCTAATTATTTATATTTTACGGACACTTGAATGCTAATATTTCCAGATAATTAAGAAAAAAAAAGTATTTAACGAGAAACAGACATTATGTAAACACCACGTAAACAAAACGTATACACAATAAGTGCAAAATAATTATTCCTAGTGCAAATCGCATAAATAAAAATTTAACGCGATACATAAACACTTTGCAGAATCGCATAGAATATTAAAGTTGAAACACTATAACTTACATTCGCTGATTCATTGAATTGCATACGTACTGCTGCAGCATTGCGGGAAAATCCAAACGAAACTTTCGAAATAGTTCATGGTCAAGTATTAAACCGTTGAATTTAAGAATTTTAGCTTCGAGTGTTTCGTCGTTATTATTATATGATTTATCAGAGTATTTTGAACAAAAAGAGTTAAAATTTTTAATAAAAATTCGTTTAAACGTAAAATTTTTAATCAACTTAATTGATTTCATATGCAAAGCTTAAATTCTTAATCGTATTAATTGTTTAATTAAAAATGGTGTGAATTAAAATTGAATTAAATTAATTATTACAACTTATTATAAATTAAATTAATTACGGAAGAACAACATTTTCGATAGAAATTATTTACATAATGTATGAATCTTAAATTTTTAATGCCAATTATATCAATAATTTAAAACATTTGAAATTGTGAATTCGGGTAAATGAGATAAAATTTTTACTAGAAATTCAATTCAAGACAGGTTTAAATTCTTAATAATAGGAATTATTTAATAGTTCGAATTTGAAAATACAACTTATTTCAAAAGTCCTGGAATTTTTAAATTTTAAAAAATTAAATAAAATTTGGAAAAATTAAATAGTAGGTACTTTATGCAATAAAAGTTTATAGAATATTAATATATTAATATTATAATTATGGTACTATAAAATAGATATACAGTTTAAAAATTATTATTATTATTATTATAAACTTTATCATATATATATGCTATTATTATTGCTACCGAGTATCAGTTGGAGAAATTGCAAACGAAAATTGTCAAAAATTTTAGCAAAAAGCAACATTCAGACTGACAAAAACACATCTCTCTCTAGACCTTATTTCATTTCTAACGTTTATAAAAATTTAACAGAACGAACGACTTTACGCGAATAACTTATCTAATACATTATTACTCAATACAAATGAGTGCAAAAGCTTGCTCAAAAATGTTTTCAAGTAGACGTCGGGTTAATTATAAGGTGATACTAGTAAAATGATCTTGAGTTGCTCGAATTCGTGTAACTTGAATTAATTTGAACAGGTCTTAACGGAAAAGAACCAGAAGAACATAGTTTGCTAATAATCGGTAAACAGTTGCCAAATCGTTGACCTGATTTCTATTTCAATTTCACTCGACTCGTTCGAAACTCTTGGAGTTTCCTTTGCAATGAAAATTTCATTTTGAGAGTTCATTTCGAGAACACGTTTTTGTGACGTAGTTCACGTTTGGGCAGGGCCGTGTGAAAATCTCGTCGAGCTCTTCAGTGACTTGAACGCCCGCACAGAAGAGCTCGAGAGGGGTATTACCATTTACATAATCGACGTTCGATTGCACATACTTTTCGTGGAAAGTACGCAAATAATTCGTGGTAATTTTTCGTGACGTTATGCAAGCTATTTCTAGTACGTACAATCTATTTGAGTTTTCCAGGGTTTTGCACAAAGATTTTATGAAGGTGGAAATTTTATTAACAGACTACGAATGCTTATGCTTGTGCATTTGTGAGAAACTCGAGATTGCAGAAATGCACAGAATGTGTGAAAAAAAAACAATATATCTATATATATATATATAGATATATATAAAACGATAATAAACAGAAATAAGATATTCAAAGATCTCTATTATATTTTACTCTCATAGTATCAAACTTTTTTTTTTTAATAAAAATTAAAAATTGCGATTTCTAAGTTGAAATATTAACAAAGACGTACATACGAGCGTACTCTGTCAAAAGTACAGAGTAAATGCCGTAAAAGAATTCTTGTTAAATAAGGAAGTTAAGCCTAACTAACGTTGCACGGCGACACCGTTGCAAGTAAATGTTTTCTTTTGTATAGGCGAATATGCTCGTTGACAAGCACACAGTTGAAAAATTAAGCCTTTTTTCCATAATTTGAAATGGAAATAAATAAAATTTCTCTCTGAAAGTTCTGTTTTCAAATATTCAAAAAAATTCTTTCCAAAAAATTGCAAAGTCAAGGATCGAACGAAAAAAAAAAAAATATAATAATAAGTTATTCGTATAGAACATATTCTACGTAAATCATTGCGAAATTTGGCCTAAACCGAAACCTACTACTACTAAAAAGAGAGAGAGAGAGAGAGAGACACGAACACTCTGCAACTGATTTTGAGAAGTCTGACTACTAACCAACGCGATGAAAGAGTTGGACATTCCCTCAGCTGTAAATCCTCGGCAACATAAAAAGCTTCTCAATTTACGAGCGTGCAAAATCATAAAACGAATTCTACGAACCGTGGCAGAGTAGAATGTAGAGTTTGAAATCTGTTGAATGAGCAAATCAAGATTTGCGTTGCAAATCCAAAAATTTGATGACTAAATTTTGAATTCTAGATTTCGAATCCTCAGTTTTGAATTTTAGATTCTGAACTTTGAATTCTGGATGAATTGCGAGTTTTAAATTCTGAAACTTGAGTTTTCAGACCTCGAGCTCTGAACATCTTGAATTCTTGAATTTAAACATTAAATTCTGAGATACAGATTTTAAATTCTGATCTTTTATTTCTGAACATTGAACGCCAATGAACGTTGAATCTCAATGAATGTGTAATCTCCGAATTGTAAATTCATATCTCTAAACAAAAAAATCAAAGTCAATGCACTAAACTCGACCTAAACTTTGAATTGACAATCTGCTGCGACAATCAACTCTCAAAGGATTCCACCAAATCCTCAACACCGAAATCTGAATCACAAGTATTATGAAGTCTATAGCCCGAAGCTTAAACCCGTCATAAAATCATGACTCCAAATCGTGAACCGCAAGATCGAAATTATAAAACCTAAAGAAGCCTACAGCTTTAACGAGCTACGATACGCGTGATCTAGTCATGACTCCAAATCGTGAATTCCGAAATCTACATTACAAGAAATATTAAAGTCCACGGCCTGAAACCTTGAACGCGTCATCGAGTCACGTCTTCAAATCGTGAACCGCGAGGTTTAAATTACAAGAGACTTAAAGTCTACAGCTGGGAAGTTGAATGCGTCGTCAAACCACGAATCGGAGCCGTGAGTTTCGAAATCTAAATTACAAGACAGCTAATGTCCACAGCCCGGTGCTTAGACGAGTCATCGAGTCGCCACTCTAAACCGTGAACACCAAAATTTAAATCTAAAATAAAATCTAATTATAAGTAGTCTGTAACTTTCATAACTTTGGTTTGGTTTGGTTTGGTTGTCAAGCTAACAAGGGAACGTGCAACGAGCTGGAAATGTGCTCCTAACTGAAATTAAAATTAATGAAATAGCAGGCAGAGAAGAATGGCGCGTTCTGATGGTCTGTAGGAAAGATCTTCGAAAGAAAGATCTTCGTGCGCGTTCGTAATAGCCCAGGGTCTGCGATTGCCTCCACTGCAAACTGGTCTGGCCGTTACCACTGGCGGTGAACACCGCTTCGACGTGTTGCACAAGCGTTTGGTACTCCATTCTACAGCGAACCGAGTCAGTTCTCGGTGGTACTGCGATCGGGCCACTCCGCCACCGCGATACCTGTTTCCTCGCTGTCATTTTTCGGTCATTCTTCAACTACCAACTTTACTAACCACTCTACGGTGGTGCCGAGTCGAAATCTCATCGACACGTTCTGAAAGGAATTTTCACGCGGCAAGTGACAACAAGGAAAACCGTGCTCTTCGTTGGAAAGTTCTTTTATTCCGTTAAAAGAGAAACGTTAGGCGAAGGGAGAATTATTATTACAACTTCCGGGATCATCGTTGGCGTCGAGGAGAGAACAACGGGGAATGTTCCAAAGAGAGACGAAATTTTATCCGCTCCCCTATCTCTAGTCAATTCGAGTTGGTTTTTGATATTGAAAGTGAAGCTGGCGTAGTAGTATGAGATTTATTGAATGACTGACTATGGGGATGACAGTGAACGACAGAACGGTGAGATTTAATTGAGTCGAGATATCGATTCGGTGCTGGTTGTTTGCTACTGAGGAAGCTGCTCTACTCATCTTTGATCGGAGACACCTGCGTCGCAGGTTCGTATTCGTTTTGAGTTTATGGAACGCTTTTGCGAGCAAAAAGGAAGAATGAGGAAAGATGATTGTAATATTGGGTCAATATTACGAAAGTCAAATTCTGTTGTGTCAAGGTCTTACTTTATTTCAAACGTGATAATTGTTTAAAGGTTTTCTTCAATAATTTCTTCAATAATTTAATTAAATTAATTAATTAATTGATTAAAGCGTAATAGAAACGGGAGCTTTGGAAATTTATAATCAACTATAACTTTATTATAATATATGTTATTAATTGTAATAAAACAACATATATGTCAACATGTTAATTATCATATTAATTAATAATAATTAAACAAATATAATGATTGACGTAATAAAAATAATGAAAATAAAATTGAAATATTAAAATTATAATACAATATACTCGTACCAATGTTAAATATAATGATGAAAATAAATGAAATAATACTAACTAAAATAGAAATAACATGAACATATACATAGTACATGTATGTAATTACTAACTCATGTACAATCAAATTCATGTATTATACAATTAGAGCAATATATTTATATAGTATAGTAATTTTAAATATTTTTAACTTTAAACTTTAACACCTGACAAGTCTGACTGAAATCACAGTAATATATCATTTACCTCTCGTAATTAAACAGCAATCCTCTTCGCATTAACCATCACGAAGAAAGAAATGTTGCATATAATGTTATGTAGACGGTTTGTTACACACGGATGTTACACACAAAGAACTGTTTTGTACAAAGAAATGGAAATACTATATACAAAATGTAACTTTGTGCAAGAGAAAAAAAGAAACGTGGAAACAACCGAACAGACTTCTATCCAAAATATATGTTATATATAGTTGACGTTGAAGTTTTATACACAGTTCAGACGTAATTCTGAAATTTTTATTACAGGGTGTGTACGCCCAAGTTTGCATATTTGATTATGGATTACACCAAACATTACGCAATCGCGTAGTTTATTGCTCCGTGATATGTGTACGATGTAAGTGATTAACGAAAGCACGTAACGCTGTTAAAATTTAACCAGCGTTACTTAATAGTAACGATGTAATTCGAACTTTCCAACAATCATGTTGGAACGGGATTCCTCCGGAAAAACGGAAAATTAAATAATAGTAGTTTCTTAAGACAGAAAATTAAGTAATAAAAGAACTTTCTTACGGCAGAAAGTTCGATAACAATGCCGGCTTGAAAATACTCATTAGATAGAAGATAGTTCATTTTACGCCGCTAATATAAATATATTGTTCAGTTTCACACTTTTAAATTTCTCATAAATAAATAAAAATTCAGTCTACTTATTATACACGTATACATACATGTATGTTATTGTGAATTAATTTAAAATTCATTTTTATCAAGGCCACAGAATTTTCAAAAGAAACATCAAACTTTCAGTAATTGATCTGAATTTCTACTGCTTCGTTATTGTTAAAACAATATAATTACTGTAATATCAGCGTAACGTCAGCAAAATTTTGACCTTCAGCAGAGGGAGTTTAGTAAAGACAAAGTTTTATACCACGTGATGATTTTTTCACATATTCACGTGTACACATACGTATATACAAACACAGAATGATTTTTCACAATTATTCTTAATGCATCTTACGTTTCTCGCTATTACAATCAACACTTTGTAATTGCTGTTTATACATAATTACGCGATTAAAGACTTATAAAGATTAAACACTTACGAATGAATGTGCCATTTGCGATTGCAAGTTTCACGTCTGAATGAAGTCACAGTAAAAATGAAAAAGAAAAATCTATTTCTTATTTAAATTTTTTTTCTTTTCATATTTAAATCAACATATTAAGTAGACAAATCAGCGGACAATAATATACTGTAATTCAAATGTTCCAAAATATTCCAAACCATATGCATAACTTTTGGAATGAATTCAACATACAGAAATAAGAGATAATAAGATTTATATGTTAATAAAATCTCTAAAGTAACAACTTCATTTTTATACTTTATCGATCTTAAATCTTATTGTACTCCACGAAATAAGTATACAAACATAGGAAATAATGAAATCTATGTATCATAAAATACAATTTTAAATACTTAGTTAACTTTAGTTATTTTGTTGATCTTAAGCTCTATTGTACAGAAAATAAGTGTACAAAGGTAGGAAACATTAAAATTTTCTATGAAATACATATATAAAAATAAATTTTACATATAAAATCTTTAAATTATCTCTCTCTTTATATCTCTACAAACTTGAAACTCTATAATCTCGTAGGTTGAAACTCGTATCAATAATTTTCATGTAATAGATCTTTAGATATAGTCTTTAATCTTTTTTTCAAATCTTTGATCGTTTTTCATTTATTCTTATGAATCTTGATAAATTCAACGTTTCTTGGTAGTTGTTGTACTTCTTCGTCAGTTCAAACGATCGTCAGTTCATTATTATAATTCCAAGTATAGAATTAGCATTTTGACGCAAACTATTTGCAATCATATATATATATATATATTGTTAAAAGCTTTGGCTAATCATGGTTATTATATTTTTTACATCATTATTTACATCATTACGTCGATCCATCGAGTTCCTTGAAAAATTGAGACGCACATCTCCTCTTACGTGCATACATATGTACATACATACATCGTGCACGTTGGCAAGTAACGTTTAATCAACTATTTATATTTTGCACTTTGCTCTCCTGATTAAACACTAATCATTACAGCTTAATGGTCAATCACAATTCGTTGGAGTATAAAGCAATTATTTTATTAACTGTAACTAAATCGCGAACATTTATGCTAATTTACACTTTTATGAACGGTAGATACTAAAAGAAATGAAATCTGAGCAAAGATTTGAAACGTCATAACGATGAATATTATACTGATTTTATATATATTTTTACTGTTTAAAATTTTCTATAAATGCAGATGCACGACCATTCTTTCAATTGCAGTTGATATTTAAAGACAAATTAAAATTTTTATGAGTACAACTAAAGAAAAAGAATCTAGAGAAATTTGCTCAACTTGATAAATACGAATACTGTGCTATATTTTATGTATTTTTATCTATGCGACCTTTGCAGTAAAATTTTAAACTTTTTATAAATGTACCCATAATTGTACAAATATAATGCACATCAAACAAACAAACAAACAAAGGATAAAAAGTTGACAGTATATTTACAGTTTAATATTTATTTATTAATTACTTATTCTCAAAAAATTCAGAATTTTTTCTGGACATTGGCAACAATTCTGACGGATTTTTAAGCATATTATTACGTGGAAAATTTGAAACTGAAAACAGAATACATCTGTTGTAATAATTGGTAAATAAAACAAATTTTTATTTAATTATGTCGCCTAATAATAACATGAATAATATAAGGATTAAAGAGTAAGATTTTCAGACTTTTCCAAGTTCTTCACATATCTGAATTATTAAATATCCGATGGGATAAAAATACAAAAGTGTAACGTGAAACGTTCGTGAGACAAGAACAACGATAAACAAAATGTCAAAAATAAAAATAAATGTAAAAATGTTCATAAAAGTAAACGTAAGAATGTTTATAAAAATATAAGTATTGTAAAGATTCGCAGTCAGACACAGTAGATAATTCTCACAAATTCTATCACAGGAATTTGAGAATAAAATCTTCTTCGAACTTTCCATTATTATTAATATTATTATTATTATTATTATTATTACTATTATTATTATTATTATTATTATTATTATTATTATTATTATTATTATTATTATATTAGGATATTTGACGCGGATTTCTCTGAATATCTTCGTCTCTTTGCTCGTTGCAAAAGATGCGTCTATCTAAGGTTACGTCTAATCACTTTCCATTTCTTTGGACTTTCGAGTGGACAGTTGTTTTTCAATGAACTTGCACGTCGGCCTCCAGTCTATACTAAGAATTGTTTGACAAGTCTCTCTTTCTCTCTCTCTCTCTGTGTCTCTTTCTAGACTCTTCCAATTCCTTACATTTTTTGCAATGCGTTCAGTAATGTCCTTCTTTATAATTTCCATAGGCAATTTTCTCGTTCGAAGGTAGGACATCAAAAATTATATCCACAAGTTTTTACTGAATAGTTTACCTTGTATTTAATAATATTCTAGATACTGAGTAATATTTCTCTAGTAGACGGGCAAAGTAAGTGAGTAGTATAAATCAATTAGTTTGCTGGAAAGCATTCACTGTATTAAAATTTAAAACGTTAGTAGCGTAAAATCAGGTTAACAGAACTTTTATTTAGTTTTCATGAAAATTGAAACATATGTGTATGTTTCATTTGTGCTTCGATTATAGTTCGAAATATACATAATTTTTTTTAGGAATAATGACTTGCGTCATTTGAAATTGTGTTATTGTGCCATTGGAATTTAATTCTGTTGCCTATCCGTGAGAGATTTATCAATTTAGTTGACAAGCCTCTCTCTTTCTCTTTCCACTTTGTACCAGTTATTCGTATTTTTGCAATATAGTTGTTTTCATATGTACTGAAGTAATTCCTTGTTCTTTGTAAAAGATCAAAAGATTCCAAGTCTTTCATTTAACAATTTTCAAGAAACTCGAGACCATTTCACTCATTTTCTTGTCCACTTCCATTTCTTTAAATTTTTAGGCAGTAGTACTATAACCGAAATATTCTCTTTCATAACTTTCCTCTTGAAATTTGTATTACTCTCTAAAAGATCAAAAGTCAGAGTCCCAAGCTTTTTGCGAAACAATTAATCCTTTACTTTCCCAATATTTATTTTGCAATAGTTACCTTTATAACTTCATTAATACTTAATCATTTTCCATTAATAATTTACTTGGTTAATAGTTAATGATTTTCCAATTCAATTTATTAATTTTTAATTTAGTAATTTTTTTATTCTCTGTTCGTATGAAGAAACATATAGAGTAAACCTTTCGTAAAAAGAATACACGATTTTAGTATACTGTTACAAGTATACTGTTACAAATATCTTATAAAATTATCTTGTCTTATAATACAAAACGTTGTTGCATAAATTACAAAAAAATGTACAAGCTCTTTCAAAGATTATAAATATTTCATTAAAGAAGTAATATACGATTTCACAAAAGAAGAAAAAATACGCATCGAATGCTAACTGACACTCAATTTTTTCATTGAAAATCACATCGAGATTAAAGACTAAGAGGTTAAAGACTTATAATTTTAGAAATTAATAAAGAAGTTAAGTTAATAAATAAATATAATACTTCATGAAAATGAAGGTTGTTAGAATAATAAAAATTATATAAAAGGACATCTATAAACCTTGTAACGTATGTGACATAATAAATTATTATGATATTAATTTATGATTTTATACTATATAGAAAAAGAAAAAAGTGAAAACTTGATGATTTTGACAAATTGATATCTTGATAAATAAATGTAATATTTCTCCAAAATACGATTTATCTTGCAATTAATGAAAAAAAAAAAAAAATGAAACTGTACAAAGTGTACTGTACAGTGTCTTTTGTGAACGACAGAAACGAAGGACATGTTTTTTTTTTTATAAGAAAGACACATTCCGTTATAGAAAAGATGAATTAATAAGTAAATAATAATATTTTACAAGATTACAATTTATTTTATGATATAATGATAGAAACAGTTCTTTTACAAAATGTACGAAGACCTTCATGAATGACTAGTCGGTCATCGACGAAATATCAGATGTTTAAGTCAAAACAGGTTGCGTCACACTTGTTAATACCACGTAACTTTTAACGAGGTCAGTTTGAATGAATTTCACGATGATCGCGTTTCTCCACCGTGACGTCTTGTAACTTTAGGCCGAGCACATCCGGCAAATCTTCCAAGCGAAAATACGATGATTTGGCGGAATTGCTTTCGTAAACGGCGTTGCGTTGTAATATCAGCCCGAATTTTGGTTGTGCAGGAAAACAAGAAGAAAGCGTACGTTATATCATAAATTCCACATGATTTCGCTGAAGAATCAGACTATATAATTCTACAACAATTTATAGGAAATTTCGATCGTATTTTATACCTATGTATGTCATCATACATCTTCACTCAAAGATCTCAAGGCAAGTATTATTTATTTCGAAACTGGAAAAATCAAATAATACTTTGTACAACAGAGAATCTATTGATACATCACAGGGATTGTATTATAAAATGCACGTGCTATCGAAAAAATTCCATTATCCATAGCGATAAATAGTGAATATTAAAAAGATTTTCAAACAGGAGCATAATATACGTTCGACGTATTATCAGATTATCATTCATCAGGACAATATTCTATATTTAAAGGACAAAACAAAACTTAAAATTAATCTTACGTATTTGACTCTGTATACATACATACATACATACATACATACATACATACAGAGTATATATTTCAATTCATTTTTTAAACATTTTAGTTCATCTACACAATTATCTCCGCAACTATTCATTATTAGAAAGAATGTTTGAAATAAAATTTTTGCATTGTTTTAGACTTTCAAAAAAATGTAAAAAATGTTGCATTGCTTAATAAAGTCTTTACTATCAATGTTATACAGTCAGTATCAAATCTTCAGAACGAACAAAATTCACCCATGAAAGTGAAAATTATCTAAAAATATGATACAGCCTCCGAACCTTTCTTGAACAAGCTGCAGCCGACAGGCTCTTCTTTGCTTTCGATCGCCCCGAGACCTTCTCGCGTCCCTGAAAAAGATCTGTTCTGGGGACGGGACCGCGACCAGTTCTCAGAACCGAAATTGCCCAATGCGATAGTTTCCGAAAAAAGAAAAAGAAGACTCTCCCCGGAGGAAGAGCGCGGAGGAGAATGAAAGAAAAGGACATACATACATACATACATACATACATACATACATACATACATACATACATACATATATACCAGGTCGATTGAACGTTCGAGGACGTCGAGACTGACAAAATCAAGGAGAACGCGCGGGCAACGAAAACCAATTGAATCCGTTCGAAACCACTTTCTTCAGTTGACTAGTCCAGCCGGAGATAGGTGAGAGTGAGTTTGTTATAAAAGTTACATCACTCGACGCAAAAGATCACGTTGATTATACTTGTATGAACGATCCTCCGCTGCTTCGGTCTTCTTTCTTTCGATTCCCCTCCGGGCATTTATTAATGTTTGAAATCACGATCTCGAGAAAATATGTCTGTTAATGACGAGTGAAACGTGCGAAACATAAATTTTGGTTCCATGTTTGAGCGTAAACTACGTTTAAAATTCAGAAAGGAAAATTATAAAATTACTTTAGTTATTTGAGTATTTGATTAGATGATTTTTAGGATATGAAAATAATGAATGTCTTTAGTTAACGTTAAGTTAAATTTTGTTTAGCGATTGTTGAGTATTAGAATTGTTAGATGTTTTCAGAAGATTAATCCACGTATGTTAATGTTGAATTTTGATGATGAGTGAAGCGTGCGAAACATATGTTTTGGTTCTTCTAAGTATGTTTAAATGATTACATTTAATTACTGGAAAAAGAATTTTCTTCTCTAAAAATTATTACATTTAAGTTGTTCCTTTTGGAGGTCTAATTTTTATAATATAAATGTGACGAATGAAAGAAGAAGAAAGATGTATTTATACATTTAGTTGTTTAATGTAAAATGTTTAGTAGATGTTTCTAGAAAAGAAATCTTGATCTACTTTAAGACATCTGTCAATGTTGATGACGAATGAAACATTAATAATGGAAACTAATAATAAATGACATAATATATATATATATATATATATATATATAAAGTTTACCCAAAAACTATTAATTTTTCTTTGGAAATTTCTACATGTTCTTTGAGACATGTAACGCTGATAAAAATTCTCAAATAGAAAATGATAATATTTCTTTGTCGCACATCTAAATTGGTAAGAATTTTCCAACACTTTTAACGCGTTTAATAGCAATAACAACAATAATTCAAACGCTTTTTGTACCAAACTGTCTGAGACTTGAATCTTGAACAATCAGTTTTGTATAAATATACATGGCAATGCGCATAGTGCACATGGAGATAGACGATGTCGTGGTTAACTTTTACCTGGTTGGTGCCTCTTACTCAGTTGCTATTTCAACTAGGAAGTACATTCATCTTCGTCATTGTACGTTCGTCAAACTTCATCTTTGAAAATTTTTAAGAACCAACTTCTGAAAGTGATTACATTACTCACAACGAAGTGTAATTTACTCGTGTCACGAGTTGTAATATCAATCTTTGTGATTTTTCAGCAAAAACAAGAATATGGAAATGTATTCGAAAGATTGAGACGAATGCCGGAAGAGGATAATAAATTGTCCAATACACACACACACACACACACACACACATATGTTTTTTTATTGACATTCATAATATTTATTTCTATATCAATTTAAAAACAAAAAAAAAAATCAGCTTAATATTCTTTATCATTGTCTACAATATTAATTTAAGTAATACATTACTATCTCATCGATATCTTATAATATCAATTTCGAATTAATTAGCAACTCTTACAACAGCAACTTCTCGGTTAGTCTAAACTTTTGACCAATAATATAACGAGTCGAGCCACTTTCATAATCGTTGAAGAAAAATGCAGTAGGTTCTAATCATTCTTTCTTGTCAGAGTAGCGATCAGAGTAAACGCGTACGTGAAATGGTTTATCGATTATGTTATAAATCACTTTCACGGAAGTGCTAATTGCTTCCTTTGCCGTAGAAATGGAGGACGCCAATAATACATCGGAAGCACCTCCCGCTTCCTTGGAACTGAAAACTCGAAGACCTCCCCTTCAAACGCAAGTCTCGACTCTGGACACGAAAAAAAGACAAGCGGTGTATGTGAGAAGAGCCTGTAAGAAGTATGGCCCGAAAAACAATCCGAATATTATTTTGGATGGGCTAAACATGACTGTACCGAAAGGCACGATGTAAGTTTCATAATTAACGCTGTCTCCTATAAAAGTCTTATACTTTTTTATTACTAGTAAAGATTTGTTTGCACTAACAACCGTGTTATAATGTACAATGTGTTGATTATGTAAGTTTTCGTCATCAATCAACTTCTTTTTATACTAAAGTCTTTTTTCATTTTTTTCATTTTTCTACCTTTTAAGGTTGACTAAAGTAACCAACTCGTTCTTGGAAAAAAGTTTTTGAATTTAGTCTAGTTGTCGGTATAACTTCTAAACTTTAGTAACTTCTTCTTTGCTCCTTCGAAACTTTAGCAACGAATATCTCGTATACCAAACTTTACCATAAATCAGCAGAAACATGCTGAAGCAGAAATATGCAAAGCAGCTTCTTACTATTCTTGGCTTTTTTCTCCGTCTTTCTTTCTCTTCTGCTTGTTTACAAAAAAAATGATTCCACTGTACTTTGACGTAAAATAATTCCACAATTATACGCGTTCGCTGATGCTTCTTTTCTTTCCGAATGACGAAGCAGTTCTTTATGCAAATAGCAAGCTGTTACTTATAGATTGTAGAACGTCATACATATGTCCATTGAAAGGAAAGAAAAAAGAAAAAAAAAAAAAAATTAAAATGTTGCGGATATATTTTAAATTATTGATGGACATAGGATATATGTAAGATATATGTGATTATATAATATAGTTTATTTTGTAACACTTATCGTCATTGTACGATACAATTTTAAATATTTATTATACGTCATGCGTTATTCTTAAATATTTATTATGTTTCTATTTACAATAATATAGGACAAAATTAATAACATTCAACTAGCAATGACACATATATAGACACATATATTGAATATAGAAACGTATAATGATATGTGTATATATGTATACAATATAATAGAATATACGTATTTTCAGATACGGTCTGCTCGGTGCGAGTGGTTGCGGAAAGACTACGTTACTTTCTTGCATCGTGGGTCGAAAGCGTCTGAATTCCGGTGAGATCTGGGTGCTCGGTGGTCGACCAGGCTCCAAAGGATCGGGTGTTCCTGGTCCACGAGTGGGTTATATGCCGCAAGAAATCGCGTTGTACGGCGAATTCTCCATAAAGGAAACGTTGATATACTTCGGCTGGTGCGCTGGTATAACTACGCAAAAAGTTGAAGAAAAAATACACTTTCTTGTAAAGGTAAGTCTCGATTGAGATTTTGTTTTAATATCCTGTGTACGTGTGATTTAAGACAAGTAAACGTTTAATGGCGATATTTGAGATTATAAGTAAAAAAGTTTCATTTTAATTTACGCAGATCGACAGACGAAGAAAAAACGATACCATTTTACGCTTTGTTTTTGCGCTATAGAATAATTAAGTGATTCAGTAGAACTCATTTGTTTATGCATTTGTTAATTACTGCAATACGTAAGAATGACGCAATGATTTAACGTGTGATCAATCGACGTTAGACTTTTAGAAAGAAGTTTAGAGTTATTTAACTGTAGCTATATATCGCTATTTTTAAAATGTAAAATTCATACTCTAAATAATGATAATAAAATTGATATTCTAAAAGTTGGTCTCGCATTTCGTAATTAATTATTGTACCGTTTTTGCAAGAATTATCCTTTGCGACAAAAATTTCAAGTGAAACATTTCTCGTGTGTAGTAAAATTATCAAAAGTCTGCTTATACTATTAAAAAATTTCATATTTTTTCCTGATAATTTCATGAACACAATTTCTAAGCATAAAATACTAATTCATTCTTGCATTCAATCGTTGTTGCATATAGCCACACTGTTAGATCGCAAGTTTCACTCATTTATGAAAAATTTCAAGATCAGAGAGTGAGATCTGACCACGATAACTTTTATTTATTCTATTTGGTTACGTTTCCAAAAATATGAAAGCGCCTACTAAAAAGGTCTGCCTAGTTTAATTTCAACTCTTCAAATATGAAGCAACATGCTTATCTTACGCGAATCGTTTCATCAGTTCTTGCAGCTTCCATCGGCAAATCGTTTCGTGAAAAATTTGTCAGGTGGTCAGCAGAGACGAGTGTCTTTCGCCGCGGCTCTTGTCGCTGATCCAGAATTAATGATTCTGGATGAACCTACAGTGGGTGTAGATCCTGTTTTGCGACAAAATATTTGGGACTATCTCGTCGACTTGACGAGAAACGGCAACAGGACCATCATGATCACCACCCACTACATCGAAGAAACAAGACAAGCTGGTATCATCGGTTTGATGAGAGGTGGTAAGTTATTGGCCGAGGAATCGCCGACGAAATTAATGGAGATGCACAACGTGGACAGTTTGGAGGAAGTATTCTTAAATCTCAGCAAAAAACAAAATATGGGTCTTCGAAGAAGAAGCAGCATCCTCAGCAGTGTTACTGGTGTCCCCCCTGAAGATGTATGCATGTCTTTACGGTCGTATTCTTTCTTTAAATCTTTGTTTAGAATTTAAAACTTGTTAAAGACCGATGTTGCGGTACATGGTACATTTCATTTACAGTTTCTTTTCTTCAATCAATTTATATTATCAACGTAATTTTTTCATATTTTTCAAGACTATGATTATGACTGAAAAAGACTTTATGTACAAACTTGCTTGATACTTTTTTTTTTTTTTTTTTTCTTTTTTGCTATTGCCGTATCTTCCACCGAGATTCTTTACGAAATTTGAAAATCGAAAAGTGTTTGTAACGTTTAAAATCAATCAATCCTTTATGAATCTCATTTTTGCGCCCTTCCTTAATTTATTATCAATCCTTTACGAGTTTCGTTTAAAGTGGGAAATTGTCGGTTTTTATCAATCTTTAATAAATATTCTCTGAATCTCGTGAGTTGTTAACTCTAGAACATACATTCGTATACATTTTGGAATTGATGTTTCACTTGGGTTTATCATTTGTTTAGACTGCGAATGACGAAATGAGCGGAGAATTCGGCGACAACGTCAGTGTTTCTAGTCGAAGGAAAAGCATTGTCATCGATCATTCGAGTGTACGTTTCAATTTCTTGTTTCGATCATTATTTATTTCACTTCTTCGTTTCTTATTTACATATTAATTTGTGCATTAATTTGGTATACAGGTGTTGGATATGCCACCGGAAGACGAATCTTCCAAGACGTCAATGATGGTTGATCCGATGCACATGAAAGCACTTTTATGGAAAAACTTCCTATGGATGTGGCGAAACGTGGGGTAGGTGGAAGTAAAATCCTAATTAAAAATAACTAAAATAACTAACTAGATAAAACTAACTAGATAAAATAAATAGAAACGAACATAGGAAATTAGAAAATTTAATACGCTTAAAACAAATGGACGCTACAATCTCCATATTTACAATAAAATACAGTAAAAAAACTTTTCTCTCATATTATCAAACATATTCTGAAACTTGACACATCATTCCAAAAATGCAAAATTTGTTTCTTCATTTATTTCCTGTAAGATCAGAAAATCGATTAAAGCTCATTTTGAATGCGTTTAAAAAACAAAAAATTACAATTTTCAGCAAATAAATTAACGCTAGAAGGAGTGATCAGAGTGATCGATACATAATTTTTCATGGAAATTGTAGATATACAACAGTATATTTTTAAAGATTTGTATATTTTTCTTGAATTTTTTTGAATTGAAATTTCGTCTATGGATATATCTAATTTTTATAAAATATTATACTATATAATAAAAGTACAATGAGAACATACTTTTATAGTACTATCTAGTTATTTGTTTTTATTATTTTAAAATTTTTGTTGATATTTTACTTATCTCAACCGTTTTAAACTTATTTATTTATGAGAATAAAAACGCCTGTCGTCGATAATCACCGTGACAGTCAACATCGCAGATATACAATATGCAAATTTAAATTTTCGCGTATATCATTAAAGAAGATAGAACCTAAATACAGATCTTCTTGTCGCTTGAAATATTATGACGAATTCACTGTGCTGATAGATATATTTTTTTATATATAATATGAATACAATACAACTCTTTAAATTTCTTATAAATAAATGCAGAGTCTTTTATGCTGTTTTACATTTTAAATTAAAATTTTATATTTGTTCTTTCCAGCATAATGTTATTCATCATCGGTCTACCAGTCGTTCAAATCGTTCTATTCTGCATTTCCATTGGCAAAGATCCGGAAGGCCTGAGAATGGCAGTAGTGAACTATGAATTGAACAGCAACATGAAACATTGTATGCCAATAGAGGGCTGTAATTGGACTATGTTAAGTTGTCGATTTTTACAACATTTAGACAAAAGTCATGTGGATCTTATATCATACGGCACTGAAGATGAGGCTAGAGACGCTGTTAAAAAAGGCGATGCCTGGGGTGCCATAACATTTCCGTCGAATTACACAGATTCCTTGGAAGTGAGAATAAATGATGGAAAATATGCCGATGATTGGAGTATAGATTACTCTAATGTAGAAATCACTATGGATATGTCTAGTGAGTTTACGACGAAAATTTTAGTATAATTTTCATTTTAAAAGTTTAAGCTTAATCTATGATAGATCCATGATAAATTGAAACACCACGTGTTTCAATTAATGCAATAAATCTATTATTAGAAATCTCTCGAGTACTGTAGTATCTGAATACATATTAATAAAGGTCACTGTAAGTGATTGTTAGACACCAGACGTTTATATTCGGACTTCATACTTTTATAAAAATATTTGAAAAGATGTAATCTAGATAGAAATTTATCTGTTACATACTAGGAGAAGTTACACATTGGATATTTTATATACTTTTTCATATCATGTATATTCGTGTCTTAAAATTTCGTCTCTGGTGATTAATTATGAAATTTCATGAAAAAAAGAGAATTTTTTTTTCTTTTTTAGATCAGCAAATTGGCTACCTTCTTCTAAGAAAGATTTATAATTCGTACGCAGCATTTGCCGAAGAAATGTCAGAGATTTGCAATTACAATAAGAAAATGGCAAATATACCGATGCTGGTAAGTTAAAAACGAAAAAAGAATTATACCGAGACATATATATATATATATATATATATATATATATATATATATATATACACATACACAAATGTAAAATATATATTTTTCGATTTGCAGTTTGAGCAGCCAATATATGGCCCTATGGAACCAAATTTTACCGATTTTGCGGCACCCGGTGTTATTCTAACGTTAGTATTCATCACTTGATGTTTCCTTGTTTGATAATATTACATTATAATTTCATAAAATTGTTGCGTTACAATTTAACAACGCCATCTTTATTAAACTTTGTATTTCTCCTTAAACAGAAGTTTCTGTGTTACAGAATAATTTTCTTCTTATCGGTTGCACTCACTTCCGGTGCCATGTTGATGGAAAGAAATGAAGGTCTCCTCGAAAGAAGTTTAGTTTCAGGTAAATAAAAACAAAAGCTGTTACGCGTAAAAACAATCAAATTATAAATTTTGACAATTGATTTTTCAATAGGTCTCACTGGAACGGAAATTCTGTTTGGACAAGTTATAACACAATTCACGATAATGATAGGCCAAACAGTAATGGTTCTAATAGTCTCGTTCGCAGCTTTCAATATCACTTGCGAAGGTAATATCGGTCTGGTCGGACTACTGACTGCCCTTACTGGATTGTGTGGAATGTGTTTCGGTACGAATCATTTTAATAATCGTACTAGCTATCATTACTGCGGGTTTCCACATACTTTGAAATTTTTATAAACATGAATAAAGAGGGGCCTCAATAAAAATTTGTTTTACAACATTTTTATATATTATATTTATATTTTTATTTAATATATATACATTTTGTAAATTATACTGCATATTCTATACGTATGTTTTATGCATTTTTACATCTTCCAATTTTTCATAAATTTTTCATGAATAATTTCATACAGAATCCGCAGTCTTAATTATTACTATTCGTTCGTTCAACTGATCTCCATTTTTAGGATTCGTCATTGCATGTTTATGTGAAAACGAGAGGACCGCTACTTATCTCGCTTTGGGAGCTTTTCTACCCATTGTAATGTTATGTGGAATCATCTGGCCTGTCGAAGGAATGCATGATCTATTAAGATTTATTAGTTACACGATGCCTCTCACAATGAGCACAGAATCAATGAGAGTTATACTAGCTAGAGGATGGTCGATGTCGATGTCAACAGTTTACAGTGGCTTCATCGCTACATTTTGCTGGATATGCATTTTTATGACTCTGTCGATATTGTTGATCAAATTTAAGAAAGGATAAGAATCTCTGTTTAAATTACAGATTGTTGTACGACTCAACATATTTTATAGCTATGAAATATATCGTACAAAATCTACAGCCTAACATAATTCGATGAATCGTATGTACGTTATACGTTATACATAGGAAAATAAATGAAGGATATTACACACCGAGGATATTACACACTTTTTGTTGCTCAACGTTGCATTATAGTTGTTATATATACTTGTATATATAATACTATTATGTATTACTATTAACATATATAATATTATGGAATTGTGACGGTATTATTTGTACAATACAGTTGTAAGTAGGCGTAACGTAAGCGTAAAGTTGTAATTACGCAATCTTTTTATAATGATTTTAAAATCTGAATCATTGATGTAGAATACAGAATAACCAATGACCTCTTTTTTTACGACTCATAGCAATGTCGTACTATACAAATGCAAATTAAAGTATTTTGCTTCTATATAAATGTATTTTATAATAAACGGATGTACACATGAACGTGTTAGAAAAATGTTACCGCATAATAAAAATCGGCGAATATTATTGTATAAAAAAATATTAAAATTTTATTTCAAATAATTCTAATAAATCTTATAATATATTATAATATTCTCATCTACATGTATAAAATCGCATCTTATTTATCCTTCTTATTTTACAGATTTTGAAGGACACAAAAATTGTTCGTGCAACGTTTTATGGATTCTTTCTGCTTTTTGTATCCCAATACCAGGACAAAGAGCTAGTGTATTCGGCTGCGCTTGTATTAATTCACTTAATGTACCAAAGGTGGATAAAAGAGTTGTGGCATCTGTTTTATTAACTGATCGAATTGTTGTCAAGGCATTCATTAACTGAAAAGAAGGAAAAAACAGATGTAGAAAGAATTATAATTCTCTGATTAATTACAATTATGTTCAAACTATATTATACATATACCTTTTGATATGGTGCTGTATCACTGCGCTCCATAATTGCATCAGGCGATTTATTTTCATAAATCTTGTATGTTTCAATAATTTTGCCTGCATCTTCTGCGCTCCATGCCAACATTAATGTTAAATCAGCAAGAATGCAAATTCTTGTCAAATGCTTCAGAGCATGATGAGGCTCTGGCACATCTACCTATGATATTTCACATTTCTAATACAGTCTTTTACTATTATGTACATGTAACAGTAAAAATTGAATCGAACCTGTACTAAAAGCACCCTCAAGTTATACATGTGTCCTAATGCCTTCAAACGTTCATGGATGTAGTCAGGATTAAGTTGATGATAACGTATAGATAAAAAAAGGGCGCAAGTAGTCTTTCCCATAACATAATCTGGCACAATTTCAGAATATTCCCAAGGGACGTTAGTTACAAATTTTAATAGTGGATTTCCTTTCTAAAATTAAATTACATATGTAAAGAGCTCGGACAGCATATTATCAAATAATAAAAGATCTTGTATTGCATCGTACTTGCTTCAAATTGACTAATAGTGTATTAAATTTTGAGGAATCCGTGGCTTTGGAGGGTCCAGGTACTGGTTCATTGAAAAATTCCGACTTCGTTAATTCTCTAAATGCATCTGTGAGAAAATATTGGTTTTTAAAATATAATTAGATTTATATCGTTTACATTGACACAATAATATAAAAAATAACTCACCTTTGAAAGAATCAATTTTAGTTTGTTTAGATGGAGACACTTCATCATCAACTTTATCTTCTTTCATTGTTTATATTTTTCTTCAAACAAAATCTGTTGTTCATCAATTAAAAAGAATATATTCTTAAGAATATATTACAGTGTAATAATTATATGTTATAACGAAGATGAGTAAAGATACATTTATAGGTTAGAATTGATAGTAAACAAAACAATGATAAAACAACAAAAATAAATCTTTAACAATCAAATTGTACTTGATGCAAGAATGATATTAATAAACAAATTACAATGAATTGAATGTCAATGAATTGAAATTATTGTTAAAAAGAATCGTTAAATTGGTTATGTGCCGTCTTTTATTACGAATAACATTGTGTCATGTATGTACATCTGTTGTTTATAACATTTTCATTGCAAACCTTTATCTGCATATTAGATTAACGTAATTGTTAACATCGTTAACTACAAAAACAAAAAATAGTATTTTTTATTTTTCCATTGGTAACACTGACAATTGATAACATTTGATGACATATTAATTTAACGTATTTTTCTAATCAACTGAATTGCTATTTTGATTGTATATTTTTGTTAATATGTTAGAATTAAAATGGGATAAATGTTCATGCATATTTTAGAACTGAGGGAATTCATTAATATCAAATCTTCGTAGATGTAATGAAAAATTAACTTACGACAAAACGTAACCTAAAATTTTTAAATGAACAAGGAAACGTCAGAAATCAAAAGTGCCAAACATAGTCCTTGGAAGGATGTTGGCATGTCAGATCCACGAGCACGGTTGAAGTCTCTCTCTGATTATGCTTCTATGGTAGAACTGGATCGTAACATTCCACCTCAAAGGTATCAAATTTTATTGAAATAACATTTCATGCATCACTGTCGTAAGCTGTTGAAAACTAGATTTTTTAGTTCAATTGATGACACTAATATTAATAATCTCTTTCATTATTTTCAGATATTATCGCTCCGGCGTAGAGATGATCAGAATGGCAGATATGTGCATGAAAGATAATGATCTTGAATATGCATATATTTTATATGTCAAATTCATAACGTAAGATGAGTGGCTTTGAGTAAATTTTGTAGCAATCCAAGATATTCAATTTAACATCTAAAAATGTGTTATTGCAGAATTTTTGTTGAAAAAATAAGAAATCATCCGCAATTTAATACAGTACCACTAAAAGATAAGGAACATAATCAACAAACATTACGCAAAGTACTTCCTAAGGCTGAAGAGTTGAAGAAACAATTATTAGAACAATATCAGACAGAATATAATAAGTATCTGGAAGATGTAAAGGAAAGAGAAAAAATTGAAAAGGAAAGACTGAAACAGGAAGAACTAAAAAAGTACTTCATAATATTTTATGAGTTATATGGGGTGAATCATATAAGTCTAGAACCTCACTAACTGAGTACATATGAGAAAAAAAGAAAAAAAAAAATGAAGAGATGACTCTGAGAATCAAAAGATATTTTAATTAATATTTCAGCGTGAAATCTGTTGGTAATCACGCACATTGTTAAACATTTTTAATTTGTATGAATTATTTCACAAGCGTTGTAGTAAAAAAAGTACCAAACCTGAACTAGTAGATTATGGTTCAATACTTTTTTATAAAGCATGATAAGCATGGTTGATTAATACATTAAGAACAGTGTAATTTAACAATGTAATTAACAATTTCGAAAATGTCTTAGGTTCTAACTTCAATGACTCATTCTTTATAACATGTATATTTAAATAATGTTTGTACACGTATGATATTTGTCTAGGTTGAGAGAAGAGGAAGAGAGAAAAAACAAATTAGCTGCATTAGCAGCCGTTAAAGCAGCAAAGGCTGCTATGACTACAAGTGTAACATCTCCTGAAGATGGCAAGGTTAAAAAATTCTCCAGTATATCGTCAAGACCATTAGTAAGTCCATCTAGTGATATAATTGCGCAAACATCTAGAGAAAAGTGAGTATAGTGTAAATAAAAATGGAATTCAGTAATTTCAAACAATATTATATTATATAATTGAATTTTTTAATAGACCCACTGTAGATCGCTCAACAAAACCTTCCTTACTTTGCGACAGTTTTACTTTAAGAGACATAGTACTGCCAACTAAATTAATGCATAACTTTCTCATGTTGGCTTTCACTAATACCACGAACAATAAAGAAACTTGTGGTATATTAGCTGGAAAATTAGAAAGAAATAAATTAGTAGTTACGCATTTATTAATTCCTGAACAAACTGGATCTCCAGATTCTTGTGTAACGCATAATGAAGAAGATATATTTGATTATCAGGATCAACATAATTTGATTACTCTTGGTTGGATACATGTATGTAGTATTTGTATTATTTGTGAATTTAAAGTAAAGTTATCATTGAAAGCAAAAGTTAAATTTAATAGATTTACAAATAGAAAAGATAATCGTACTTTACAGACACATCCTACACAGACTGCCTTTTTGTCTAGTGTTGACCTTCATACACATTGTGCATATCAACTTATGATGGCTGAAGCAATCGCCATCGTTTGTGCTCCTAAATATGATGAGTAAGTAAAGGAGAGAAAAGATTTAGATGAATATATATGTATATATAAAAAAAGAAACTGAATTTTTTAAATTCAGAAATATTTCTTTTATTTTAGGACAGGGTTTTTCATTCTAACTCCGGAATATGGATTGGACTTTATTGCTAATTGCAGAGAAACTGGATTTCATCCGCATCCAACAGATCCTCCGCTATATACGGTAATTGTTCTATGGAATTTTTGTACAATTATACCCATTCAGAAGAATTTTTTTTCAGAAAGCAAAACATTGTAAATTGGATGTAACTGCAGTGATAGAAGTAGTGGACCTAAGAAGAAAATGACATCTTTTACATATGTATACACATTTTTCCATATGTGTATACTTTAATGTGTACAATTACTGTATAACACATTATACATTTAACTATCAAATACGTTGTACTAAGTGAAAGGAACGAGAAATTGCAAACGTTTAGCTCTTATCTCTGACCTCTTCGGTACGATTGTTGACTAAAATGCATACACACGGTACGATTATCGACTCAAATTGATACTCGTTGAACGCTTGTATACAGCAATTTAAAAATCGCTTTAAAAAAAACCCCGTACTGTTGCACGCACTTCCCTTTGATTCCCAAAAAGACAGAAATTCACATTTTGGAAAAAATTATAAAATTCTTTTATAATATTTCAGTCGATTAACATTCTATTAACTCTTGTGCAATATTTTGATTCAAGTAATTGCAATAATTCATATTATAACTATTTAGGTCTTGCGTTTTATTTCTTATGTTCCACCTTATATTTAGTAATAATAATAATAATAATAATAATAATAATAATAATAATAATAATAATTCATATCAGTAAATCAATGTAATATCGACTTGTATGTAATTTATTTGTTAATATTTTTGTGTTTATATCATCAATCAATAGTATTCTTAATTTTTAATTTTTTAATTGAATTTTAAAAATTTATTTAGAGACATAGCAAATATTTATAACATTTCATTGTAACACGTACGAAACTATATCGCGTTGCTGTTGCTCTCGGTATTAATTAATGTTAAATGGTCAACGAACCCCGTACCGAAAAGGTTAAAGAATATAGAGATTTAGTAATAATTGCAAAGCTTTCAATATTTTTATGACAAAGCATTTAATATATTAAAAATCTATAATATATTTAAAGTATATCGTGCATTTACAATCGGTAGAATAAAAAAAATTAGTCAAATGCGAATGCAATATTTAAATGGAAAATTATAGTAGTTGACACGAGAACATTTTTATGTACTTTAAGAAATTTAAGTAATTAATTAGAAGTTGTTTCGACTGAAAATGAGCATTATCATTAACAGATAGTATTGACGTTTTCATTTCACGAGTATCGAATAAATTTCATCCTCTTGTAATGAAAGTAATTTTGCTTGCGTATAATTTATGTGAAAGTAGAAATGGTGTGATACGAATGTGCTTCTATTATCTTTTCAAGACAAAATTTCGAAATGCACCTAGTCGATTAACGTGAAATCTGGCAGATATTGTCGGAGATGAACACGTAAATATGAAACCTTAGCTTTGGCAATTCATGTATTTGAAAAATTATTATTTCGACAATGTGACGAGTGTATTCCTGTTACAAAAATCCATTGACCTTTGACGATGCGGTCTCTTTTGTAAATTCGATGGTCAAACTTCATTTCATCAATTTCAATAATTTTTCGAAAACCCATCAATTAGATCGTCATTCGTATTATTGTTGTAATCATTCTTTCGATCGTTAGTTATGAAGATCTCTCTACGATAAGAGTACAGAATTACGTAAATCTTTGAGAAAAATAATAATACGTAAGACCTGAAAAGTCTTCCAGTGGGATATTGTGATACTCGAATCAATGTTCAATTTGTAGATTAATACTGAAAACATTTTTATCATTTTCTGATACATATGTGCATACGTATTGGATTACCTCTGTATTGGATGTTTTTTCATTTTTCGAACACTTGGATATTTCATGTATCTCGTGACATTTCTCTAAAGCGTGTCTTTTTTTACATTCCAATTTCTCTAGAATCATTTATCGATGAAATCATTACAATGAATATTGTACGATCAAATAGACGAAAGACTAACAAACGGACGACACTACAACCTTTCGACCGTTTTCTGTTTTCACAAGAATTTTTTCCGAGAGACAATTTGGAGTAGAATATAAAGAAATGATAGTAATCACACTAATCACACTAATCACTTTTCGTATACATATGTTCGTATATATTTCTCAGTCGTACATATGTAGATACATTATTATACGGTATGATATCGCTGATGCATGAATTGCCGAAAAACTGACATTCTTACACGTTTTAATCCACCACCCGTGAAATCCATCAATTTTCACATTCTATATCGATCATGGGTAACATTTGAAACTTTAGCTTTTAACTTTTTCATAATATTTATATTTATTTACTCTGGTAATAAATTGTGCGCCGGAAAATTAATGTACAACAAAAACTTTTATAAATATTAGCGGTGTGCGAAATATGTTACGTGCCTTTCATGGAAAAATAATGGTGTTCATAATCTCATGTTAATCATGTAAAATATGTTCAACGTTTAATTGTAGATATTGCACGATATTGTCGAATTAACGTTAATTACATGTGATCGGGTCATTCAGTGAAATCGTATCGTTACGTAAGATCATAATCTAAAAATCAATGAATACATTGACACGCTGTGCTAGTCATAACTTAATAAAATATATCGAGCTTGTTATGAAATATATTGGATATATTAACATTGTGTGATGCTTCATTATGTGTACTCTGTCACGATACTGGTACTCAAAAATTTGCACAGTACCGATAGGTGCTGTGTTAATCGATATCGGTGTAAAAGGTTTGTACTAGTAGGTACCTGAAATCATTTTTGTGTACTTAAAATTACATTCAATTACACGCTTACATACCGTTTATGAGATTGTACTTTTCCCTGTCTCATAAACACAATACAATATTTTGTACATATACAAACAAATTGTTCATTCCTTTTTACGTGGCAATTCTTTTTACGCCCTGAGAATAAATAACTAACTACTGTACCAAACAAAGTTCGTTCGTTAAAAGGAGAAATATTTTAATTAAAATGCTTCAATTAAATTGCTATTCGCGGTCGAACGCTGAAGGGCCACTGATTGAAGGACGTATTAGCTAAATAAATTCCAATTCGCGTGAAAGCAATTACAATTTATGACACAGACACTGGCCTACGTTCGTATCGGAAGCTGTTTGCGAATGCTAAATCCAAACATTACAATTATAAAATAAATATTATATATATTTGAATGTCAGTGAGAAGAATGTATATATTTCGCAGGATGAGAAATAAATAAATATAAATCGATACAACAAATACAATTTTTGTTTATTACGATCTGTTCTTGACGAAACAAAAGATCGGTCACAAAGAGGTCGGTCCCCCGTTCGTCTTTTTTTGTGCCTTTTGTCCAGGAACATCCACTGAAAGCGATTATTCGCCGTTGAGAGCACAACAAAACGAAATTATTTGCCAGAATAGGAAGAACAAAAAGAAACAGAAGAAAGTTATTCACAGCCAGGATATGGAATTCTAAAGGGAATCCATTGTACGTGTACGTGCGAGTACCTCGTGAGAATGCTTCTCGCCATTCACCTCTCCTCGCGTATATCGAATTACTCGCGTTGAAGGGTTTCCCGCTTTGCAGGGTTTTATCGACGGCAGAGTCAATCTATTTTTACATGGTGGTTTATGTGTTCTTCGTTTTACCGTTTACAGGCCGGCTATAAATCACGTTACGCGTAGGCGGCATTCTCTCTTTGCGTGCATGTGTTTCACGCTCCTTTACTTATGGAAATTTCACTTTTCTACTACGCACTTTTCTACCCCTTAACTTGTTTTCCTTCATCTATTAGCGCGTATTGACGCGTCCTGTGTAAAATAAAGTAACTATAGTAGAATTGTCATTGTTTATAACCTCGATAATTACATGATAATTATTAATAATTAACAATTATTAATTGTAAGTATAATTGTCGATGTACGATGTAGAGTGATGAGAAAGTTTGGACAGTATCGTGTTCGGTGTTAATTACGCAAAAATACTCAACATGCATTATTGCGCGACTTCTAAAAAAGTGAAACAATAAATTATAAAGCTATCTTGGTTGATGGAATTGAAATATTATATTTGTCAGCCATGAAATTGTACGTTTAAATGAAAATGCATGTATGTATTTAGTTGCAAATGCAGTTGCGAAGATGTTTTTTTTCTTTTTTCTTTTTTTAAATTATGCATATAAATATGCACGTACTACATATGTACATATTTCAACAACATTCGCTGCATCTATATATCAAGTTTAACATTTATTGCAATGTTGGATCAAGATGATAGGAATTTAAAGATTAAAGTCGAGAAAACTGGTTCGCAGCAATATCGAAAACACAATTTCCAGAAGCGTTTACTTTTATCTTGCGTTTTATCTTGATCTCTATCCGTTATACATACATACGTATATATGTATGTACATACATACATACATACATACATACATACATACATACATGATACAAGGATAAAAAGAACCATAGCTCACTGCAAAGTCTTGTTCGTAGAAAATGTTTACCGTGTGTCAGTCACTGCGTTTAACGCTTGCAGCTTTTATTCAATTTTAATAATTCAATTTGTTTCTTTCACCTTCTTTCACCTTCATAAATTTTCTTTGAACAAAATTGTTAATTTCAGGTCGGAAATTGGTTAATATCTATTCACACACAGTTTGCTTATTTACTTCTCGAACGCCCCTGTAGAGCAGGATAAAACTTCCAAGTAGTTATTTCGGTCATTCACTATATGACAATTCTCCAATTTACACAGAATAGCACGAAACTGAACTTGAAGATTTGTCAATTCTTTCGGAGGTAATTTAATAATTACGAAATGACGTGCGTTGCGATCTATTGATCTTTGTGAAAATCTTGTGCAACCAGCGGAAGAAGAATTGATCAGCACGTGGATAAACGAGGAGAGAATATGGAACCAGGTATGCAACGGCCTTCTGTGCCTTTCAAGTTTATTCGATGACGTACGAAATCCAGCAGGGTAAAACACGTTCGTGACGTGTACCCTAGTACGTGTATATACGCGCGTGCGATTCGCTCTGCGTCTTTAATCTCGTTGTTACCGGTTTTTACAGTCGAGTATCGATCAGATGCAAGTCGAGCAGTGGGAACTCGGCACACTTCGATTTATTCTGAGAATGTGGCCACCTAGTATACTTTAACATGAATAAAATTCAACGTGTGATTACCTTAACAGCCGATACGTTCATTGACGATTCTCAGATATTACGTAATGAAAATTCTTCAAATTAATTGAACGTCATCGGAATTGTACGGTATCTCTCAAATGAGTAGCACGAAAATATTGTCTATATATTTCAAACTTTGGCTGCTTAAGTAAGAGAATATATATATATATATAGATCGCTACAACGAATTTTGAATAACTGTAAGATGGCTTTGGTATCCTCGAAATTCTTTCTTGGCTACGTGAACGTTCATTCATTTGTGAGTATACTTGCATTTGAAACGAAATCTCGAAGCAGCACAACAGAATTAGCTCGAATCACGAAATACAAAACGGTACATTTCGTAAGATGGGGATTAAGGTTATTATACTTGATCTATCCTATACTTTTGAATAGTCAAATTGCGTTTAACCGATAGAACTTGCGGTCGTACGTAAATGTACGATACAACTTACAAGTGCATTCTACATACGTACGTGTGTTTGCATCATTGATTTCGTTTAGCGTGGACACGAATTTTATAAATATTTCTCTCGTGTTCTCGGAAAACACGAATTTTTTTCGGACTCGATTAAAATTCAAAATTGAACGCGATTCAAAAAAGATGAGTTACGAGAAGAAGGATAGTTCTCAGTGCAAAAAATTCGTTTGGTTCAGTTTCAAAAAATGACGTTCGAGCTCCTTATCTTTTGGAACACTGCCCCGAACTTACGCAAATAATGACATAGTCAAGCAAACTGATAAACAACTACCAACAAATTGCTTTGAAAACTAACTCACATTGTTTCCTCCTCGCTTCGTTTTACACATGCCGCGCGTTATTCTAGCCCTCTCTCTTTCGTCGTCTGTCACGATTATATAGTATTTCTCCAGTCGCGCAGAACGTGCAGTATGCTGTTGCTCTCAAAGGAAGGAACAACTCACGGCGCGACAGTGCCGAACTCTCGATTCGCACGGTTCAATTCGATTTTCAATTACCCACGACCTGCACGTAGAACGACATAGAAACATAAAACGGCAACGTATGGCTCGACGAATGAAAACGAAAAAATAACAATAATCGAACCAAATGATCGGAAGTTTGTGTACCACGTGTCTATCCATTGAACGTTCGTGTTCTATTATTAAAAACACGACATATGTATGTACGTCGAGTACGAGCAAAGGTGACTATAGGAGGAATATTTCAATCGTGACTGTAACATAATGAAATTTTACTAATAACAGTGTAACTACTCCTACTGACGAGTCACTTAGCAAAATTCGTTCGTTCTTCAAATTCACCGAAAGTTTCTGAAAATAACATCAAAACGTGAGTTTTATTTAAATATAATCAAACGCGGTGTAATGATTGTATAATTATTGGTGCTCGATGCGTCAACTCAACGCGGTGTTTCATTTTTCTTGAAAAGACCAACTCGTGTCTTTGGAAATGCACTGACGATCGGCATTTCAGGAGCAGCGCGTAAAACGCAGTTGAGAGTTGAAAAATGAACGGCGAGTGAGAAAATTTATGTGTGAAAAATACACGGACATTTCCTCTTATCTCAGAAGGAACAAATGACTAATTGTAATGCAATTGATCGTGAAATGCTAATGTGTGTGTAATGATCGTTCTTTGAGTTTTACCGGTCACCTCTGTTTCTTGGTTTCTCTATCGAGTGCATAGCGATTCTTCACCAAACGCTCGCAAATAGAGAAAAAGTGGAACATTCTACTTTCACGTTCGACAAAAGGTATGTACTTTTAGAGCGTATAATATACACCGAGAAATAGGTTAATTATATATTGCTTATCGATACTTTTTTTTTTTTTTTTTATTGAACAGGATATTTCGTGACTTTCTTCTTTTTTATTATGCCGTTTGGTTGAAACGTATTGAAAAGATCGTCTAGAAATCCCGTTCTGTCGGCTGGATCATTTAACACATGCAGATAAAAAATGGTACGTTGAACATCGTAGTTATCGAGTTCGATTTTTCACGGAATTTATTTATAATCATTTATTTCTTTTGCAATTTTTTACGTCATTTGTGTGAAATGCGATAAATACCAATTAGGTAAAAAAAAAAATATATATATATATATATATATATATAGGCAAAAAAAAAAAATTGGTCAAAGACTAAACAAGTAATAAATATTTTCTCGATGTAACGTTTGTCATCTTTGTCATCTTTTATTAATGAATTCATAATACGTTAAGAATATACATGTATATCTCCAAGAGTTGCAAAACTTAGTATTAAACGTAGCTTTTTATATGTCACGTTGCGACACTAATATAATAACAATCCTGTATACACATACAATATTGTATTGTAATAGTTGTACGAGTTTCTTTTTAATATATTTGCAAGTGAGTTTTCAAGGGAAGACATAATCCAATGGAAATATTAATGTGATTGTTTACTTTTATCTTGGCGAATAATTAGATACCTTGCAAATCACCCGACCAATATTTCCTGTTTCCATTCGATGTATTTGTATGTATGTTGGCGTATAATAGCATAAAAATGTCAGCGACGTCAGAGGAAGAGATTTATATAACCTTTTCCACATACAGATTCATGAGAATTCGGTACACGCCGATTGTAGGATTTTCATAACAGTTGTGCTCAAAATTAGGAACAATCTCCGTGAAAAAAAAAGCACTCTTGTAATAATATATATATATATATAATGTACACTACGAAAGAAAATTCAAAGCGACAGGTTTCATGCGTGTAATACCACTGACGCGCTTTCGTGTGCCATTTTTCAACCTCAATGTTCGAATGACATCGTAAGGATATTTTTTTTTTTTTTTTGCATGTAAACGAAATTTCTGTGATAGCTTCCTTTCGTAAAGTATAAAAGATATAAAAATATGCACGCGATGCACAGTCACAATGCTGTAAAATGTAAAGTTTGAATGATATACGGTATCTTTTTATAACATTCTAATTCGATGTTTTCGACTTGTCATGCGAGGAACGGAGTACGCAAATCCAGGAACTTTTGTGTTATGTAAAACATTCTGAAATTTTATTGTCACCATTACATTCAAGAATTGCGTTGGTAAAATTTGATATCAGTCTGAAGCTATATGTAGAAATTATTAGATATTTACTAGTTATTAAAAGAAATTGCAGAAAACACTGTATGCTTGAAATAACTATTTATATTATATATATATTTTTTTATTAAACATTGTACTTGCAGTGAATTTTCAAATTGGTTTCGTATTTTAAATAAATTTTACATGAAATAAAAAATGTAGTAAAATAAATATAAAAAAATAAGTTTCCCGAACTAATGCACATGTAAAATAATAATCTCTGTATTAAAATAGAAATGATTATTAAATATTTAAAATGATACTCAGGATAAAAAGTATAAGTAAACAATTTTTTTTTCTTTTTTTTCTTCAAAATATTCTTAGCGATAAATATTGCAAACTATGGAAACTATACATTATGTAGTAAATATAGATTCTTCAATAATATACTTATATACAATATATCTATAAGACAGTATGACATTTTCTATATGAAGTTCAAGGAGAAAAAAACAATTGTAGTCCACACAGGTTAAATCATTCATGAGTCATATAATCATTCGAATCCATGCCTATTGTATCTTATTATTGAAATCTTTTATCTTTTTCAAAATTCTCGTAATTTTCATAAATACAGGTTTCATTTTTGCGTTATTTTGAATTACGAACTTATACGTGATCAGGGATTACATACAAATGGTGTTGATTTTTAGATATGCAATTAGAATTCTAGAAAACTGAATAATAATCTGAATTTTCAATTATCCAAAAATATCACTTTTCGATACGAATTTCGGTAGCTCCAGTAGCTCAATAAGTCATTATATTACGATTTCACTAACTATTGTAAGCTAACGAATCTTTAAATTTTTAAATAAATCAGTCAGTTTTAACCACATCTTAAATATATGCTTCAAAACTTGAATCACACATACTTCGAATTTGAATTGATTCACACACACATTGTATTGATCAAATAAATAAATTAAATAAAAGAAATATTTCGATACACATGTTATTAAATTCACGTATACAAATAAAGTTATAATCAAGCTAAAAAAGTCAAAAAAATATAAAAATTAATTGTTCACTTGTTCTCTCAATTATGTAAAAACTCGTTGGATTATTAATCAAAATGGCAACGAAACAATAAAAACGTTTTCGTTTGCTTGTCTAAGATAACAGATAAAACGTAGCTATCATAAGTGGGGGAATGGTGGAAACTGATAATAACGATTGATCATGATTTCAGGTTCAATTCTGCCACGCGGATTAACACTTGAAGATCGGTTGAGACAAAGAAGTCTGTGCAGAAACGCAACGATCTTTGAATTCGAAGAATACAAATAGATAGGACAGAGAAAAGATGTTTCAACTATCGGTGATCGTTGTTTTAGTGGCATCGATGTTTGGTAAGATAAAAGTTTTTGTGTTGACAATCTTGACTGAAACGCGATCTGTTCTTAAACGTGATACATTTTAATCGCAGTTAATTAATGTATTTTCGGAATTGTAAACAATCGGGCTAGATATCAAAATATACACAAAATATTCTTTCCTTTATTTTTCGAAATATTTTCGAAATCTTACGAAACAATAACAGTTCATTTTTCTTCGTATTGTGTTAAAAATTGTGATGTTATAAACACTTTCATTCTTAGTTGGCAGAACGTCTCCACTGATGCAGAATGAAGAACACGAGAGCAAAGTGTTCATCGCAAACATAACACAATCAACCGATACACTGAGCAACAACAACGGTAAAAAGATGGATTTGTCGATAAAAGCGACAGTAGTTAAAAAAGGTAAATAGAATGTATTTCCTTAACGATTTAGACCCTGTGTTTGCATCTACGACTGACTGATTTGAAATGCACGGGGTTAATATTCTTCCTGCGTAATTCCCGCCTAATGATAGTACAAACTGTCTACTACTGAACTGAAATTTTTATATTTAGATTTACGAACAATGAACGAGTCCAATAACTCTACATTGATGAATTTAACCAATGCAAACGTGAGCACGCCGATCAACGAGAACAATCGAGATAAAGAGAAGCTGAATAATGAAAAGCAGATGTGTAATTCTAAGACAGAACAGGCGGACATGCTTCACTGTAACGTGATTCCACGGGATAATGACGATGATGAATCGTTAAATACTACAGGTATGTCGCATAAAATTTGAATAAAAATAACGAGCTACATAAAAAATGGATTACATTATTTCCACATTTTTTTTTTTTTTTTAAGAACCTACGACACACAATGCTACTACTGCAAATAATGAAATTAAATCCAGTACCAAATCTCAGGTACCGGAAGTTCCACATAAGAAAGAAGAAAATGGCACGGACATAGAAATCGTTTTACTAAATAACACACAGACTACGAATCAAGTACCTTACGACATTACGCTTCCTGATATCAATCACACGATTAATACTAACAGTTCTGGTATAGAAATCTAAAGATAACGCAATTACATAATATTACATAATTAAAGGTTTATTGGCTAGTGTAATTGTAAAAATATAATAAATTATTTTTATTGTAGATGTTTCGAGTACAAATTTGAAAGATAGTAGTACTAATGAAACATCGCCGTTACCAGTAAAAAAGGCTGCTACAAGTGTAAGTTCGGAAAACATCGCTGAAGTTGCGAAATCTGTTAGTCGCAATAATAGTAAGCATATGCCTTCGGGAATCATAGCGCTAGTTACTGCGATCAGTTTTGCTGTAGCAATTGCATTGGTATACATAGGAATGATCGTTTGGAGGCGGTATATCGAGTAAATATTAAATTTACTATTATTTTCTTCTTATTTGTGTCTGTGAATCAATAAATTTTGTATTTTGTATTTTAGATATAGATATGGGCACAGGGAATTGCTTGTTAATGAACTAGAATTTGATACTAATGATTTGCGTCATTTTGAGGTAAATATATAATTGATTATGATTAAATTAGATATATAATTAATTTATAATCATTTAATTTTGCATATTACAGCTATGATTTCAAAGAGAGCAGTAATCTGCAGAGAAAAAAACTGAATGGTTCACAGCTAAAGCTGATACTATGTAAACTATTGAATGATTTATTCATCTGTGATACTAAGGACATGTATTGTGTCTGACAGTCAAGACACCAAATATATTTGGATAATATTATATATTTCTTTTGTGATGTAATTGTTTTATATACACTGCGTATACAATCTACTTTTTTCAACACGTTGATCGTTTTTTTCTTCTCCTGTAGAAATTAAAAATAATGTTACTATATATATATATATATATTTTCTCATGGTAATTGCAATGCGCAGATCATTGAATAAATTACGTAGTATTTTTAAGCATCAAGTAAAAGAAAAGAATTTTACAAAAAGTTACAAGGGTGCTAGAATATCTTAGTTTTCTTCAATGTTAATATGATGAGTTTTATAGTATTTGAAACCATTGAAAAATGTAAAAATATTATAGACTAAACCTTCATAATGTAATGTAGTATTATCTTTGTTTCCCACTCGTTTTTGTAATATGTGCGGCGAACGTGTACATATTTTTAGTTAAATAAATAAATCGCTAAATTATTTTTTTAAGAACGTATTTTTATTTTTGCCAAAGAGTTCAATTGATATCTTTTGAATCGATTACGATAAACTTTCGTAAAAATTATGCACATGAAAGAACAGGGTGAATTGTATGTAATCTTATAAATTCTAATTTATGTAGTGACAAAACGAATCTTCATAACGATATACATATTTATTTATAAATTCAATAAATCACAATTCCAAAAAATAGTTACAAGTAACTAATACGTACTTTGTATCCTGTAATTAGTATTGTTGTTTTATTAGTTTTTAAATATTTATCTACATTAACATTTGCGGCATGTTTCATATAATATCTACATTGTTCATCGTAGGAATAGTCTTTTGTTGTTGTCCGTTAACAACATCGTAAACGACAAATACGTGTAATAATTCTTTTGTATCAATTAGCTTACATTAATCCTTCTTTTTTGTAATTACAAGTGGACCCACATTATCATTTGTCGCTTGATTATGAGTTCCATGAGCGCCATCGCAGTATGGCCACTGAAATACCAAGGTATTAATATCAATATTACAATTATTTAAACTTTGTCTGTTTATCAATTTATCAATATATAAACAAATGATTATGTAATATATGTTTGTTTCACTCATAAAGTTATATTCAGATGTTTTTCATACATTATGTGTAGGATATGTAGGTTACTTATGTATAGCATATAAAATATTAATAGCAAAAGAGGACAACAAGAAAGCTTACATTCTTAGATCTCCAGCAACGGCAAAACACGGCTTTTTCAGTAATATCTTCTATATCAACTGTGTCTACTACTTTATTTACATCCTTCTTTACATTCAGATTCACAAGTCCGCATGGCTGTAACCATAATTAAGACAAACTATAGATAAGTAGATGATACAATATATGAACTCTTTATTACGTAGATTTTATAAACGCAATCCGATGAATTCATAGAAACGATAGTAATAAATATGAAGCAACAATGTTACGTAATCGACAAAGGAAAAGGCAAAATATAACGTAATGTACTATCTTAACGTTCCTGTGTTGGTCGGTAATAAGTAAACACATAAGTTACTTACTGGTCCTCTAGCCTTTGGACAAAATGCTTGATACGACATATAACCGATACCCGCTAATAACGCGGTTGGAGGAATTAAGGCAATCCAGTCTCGTACTAAACAAAAATAAAAAATATTTCATATATTCGTAATATTCATAAGAACTGTTGGATACAATGTAGCAGAGTAGTAATTTGCAATGTCACGTTGAAAACTTCTATTTCTGAAAGGTACTCGACGTGATTCTACTAGATTATTAAATGTATAGCAAATATGTTATTTAATTTCTTACTTCCGAGTCGAAACCATCCTCCAATAGTATCTGGAATAGGCAATCCAGCTAAATAATTTGGAAGTGTTACTTTGACGAGATGAGCCACTGGCATCATGACTGCTATTACTACCACGCTAGTCAAGTAGCGATTTCAAACGAACAAGCTATGTACATACATATGTACTCTGTGTTGCAAATAATATATTTTGAACGGTTGACTGCTGTTCCATATTATGAAACAAAACATGTAAATTGAAAGTAATTATATATATATATATATATATATATATTTATTTATTTATAAAGTGCAGTTTCAATCATGAGAATTGGTTGATACATTCTTCCTTTTAAATTTCTTGAATTTATTCAAACTTCGTTGCAAAGTTAAATAAAACATTTTTGGTCATATATTACTTGTTAATGAAGAACATTTTGGTTTTTTAACATGTATTTGTTAATTAAAAACATTTTGGTTTTTAAGATTTTTCTCTTACTTGTACTGAGCGATCTCTTATTATTAAAAATTTAAAGTTTTGTTTCGAATGTTGTTATTATTTTAGTTGTCTAGTAACTGTATTCGACAATTACGATTAAATAATAACTTTGTTGAATATGAATATTTCATTAAATAGGAATGTTTTAAATACGGTTAATTTTTATAGACATTTCAAATTGACAGTTTTCTAAAGTCATCCATTTTCTAGTTAAATGCTTTAACTGAGACATTTACTTCGTCCTAGTAAATTCAATTTTTTTTTTTTATTATATTATACGACACATAATAAAGCACACAATGTTCTGATATATTCTAATTAACAAATTTAAACTGTATGTAATTTTTCTACTTCGTAAAAATCATACGATTTATATTATCGTATGATTATAAATCATATTATTTATATTATCAATTGCGATAAAAGGTGATAGCACATATATTTTGCGTATGCAATTTCTAAATAGATGAGCATGCGTACACATATTGCGTACATATGCGTTTGGAATCGGCATTGTCGCCGGTAGATTTTGACTAGTGTAGTGGACGAGGTGAAGGACCGGTGGGGTCCACGAGACGTCTTGTAGGTGGCGCCATCCAGTCGCGAGGCGTTCGCCGGGCAGGGTGGAGGTGGCTGCGTCGTCCGTAAGGATACGTGGTCGGTTCGCCGCGACGCCGCCGCGGTTCGCGCAGGCACAGGTACGAAGTGCGCGCGTTTTGGAGTATATTGCTGAAAGGAGCGCAGGAGTGGCGTTTCTACGTGTTCCGATATCGCTGGCCACAGTGCGTCGGTTAGTATATAGATCGGCAGCGAGGTTCGTGTCGTCGGCAGCGGGAAGAGAAGAGAGGAAAGACCAAACAAGAGAAGCAAGAGGGAAAAAGGAGTGAGATAGAGAGCGCGGCGCGGTTCTATCGCGCGGTGCAGTGCGAAAAGTGTTGGCGAAGGGGGCCTTTGCTTCCTAGTCTGTGCGTGTGGGTGTTCGTGCGTGTGCCAAGAGAGAGAACCAGAGAGCACGTAAGAAACGTTGAACGTTGAGTGACACACGGCGCCTGGCGAAAGGGACGAGAGAGAGAGAGAGAGAGAGAGGGGAGGGAGAGAGAGAGAGAGAGAGAGAGGAAAGACGGGATAAACACGGGTCGCCGGATAATCCTTGTATACGGTGTGCGAGTCTCGTGAAGGTGCGTCAAATGACAGTGAGGTGATCAATGTGCTCGAAACATGGCTGAGGAGCTGGTGGTCACCCTGAACCGTGGCGACTCGTCCGGATTCGGGTTTTCGCTCCTCGGTACCGCGGGCCTGCCGCACGTCATCTACGACATCATTGAAAATTCGCCGGCAGCCAAGAGCGGCAAGGTAAGTACTACTTATACTGGCTTCGATCGTATTTTCATACGTGTATACATACTTGTTCCTGTGGCATTGCCTGTATTGGCTTGGTACCACTTCAGAGTAAGAGAGAGAGACAGACAGACAGACAGACAGAGAGAGAGAAAAGTTCGAGGACGGTCAAAGGTAGAATTACGAGAAAAAGCAACCCCAGTTTCTAGACGTATATACGCATCTAACGCTGTGTATACGTTACGCGTTCGTTCGACGAGAATCCTGCGAACGCGAACAGCCTCAAAATAACGCCCGGTGTATATCGACCCGTGTTATTATCGCGAGCACCCTCTGTCGCCCTGTCTGTTTCTTGACCTCTGATCACTTTTTACTCTCACGTTTTCGCGAGTCGTGCTTCCTAGTGCTTCTTCAGCTATTACGTATTTACAGTAGTGCTTCTTTAACTAGTCGCAAGTCGGGAGTTTATTCGGACAGTTATCAAGGGAGATATACCTTTATAATTTAGAAAATTTCGAGTATTTGTATGTATATATATATATATATATATATATATATTTTTTTTTTTTTTTTTTCCAATCAAGTTTCGATACCTGAGACGTTTGTTTATTTAATGTGTGTGATATTCATGTTAATTGATCATTCATATTCTCTTAATTTTTGGAGCTTACATTCATTAAGTAATATCTCCTAACATTATGAGAAGTGTGTGTCGTAAAATAAACGTTGAGTACCCGTATCTCGAGCGTACTCAACGGAGATGAAAATGTCTAGAATAATTTGAGAAATCAGTTTCAAAAATTAATGAACACAGCAATTGTCAATTGTCGAAAGAAAATTCCGGTCAGTTATTGAGGCACTACCGTATACCCGTCTTAACGTCGACAGTACGGGGATGCTGATTGGCTGGGTGGGATCGGTTTAACGGCCACATTCCAGCCTGTCGGTCGGTCCTTCTGTCCCTATGCTCTCTCTTTCTCTCTCCCTCGCTTTTTCTTTGTCCCTCTTTCTGTACCTGTCTCTCTCTTTCTTTTTCTCTTTTCTGTTTCCTGGGATATTTCTCTTCAGCGGTCATACGAATCGAAAAATTTGAATCAAGGAAAACCTGGCAGGGGAAGAGGCGACGGTTTGTTCAACCCTAACATTCCTTACGTCGTTTACATTAGACGTATTGTTTCTTTAACCCAGTTCTTTTAAACGTTTCCAACGCCGCAGCCATCTTTATATAAATTTTAACTATGATATTTATATAAACTATAAACTATAAAAACGAATGCATTTTGTTTGGTGCTTTATTTTCAATACGTTAGATATTTTTTCGAATTTTCATATATTTATGTACACGTATTTTTTATATTTTCGTTAGAAAAACTTCATAAACTTTATGAAACAGGCATATTTTTCATAATAATGGATATATACAAACAATCGTGTAATAAAATAATACATGACAAATTAGTTTTTGTGAATCAGATGATTGTATTTAGTGGATTGGCTTTAAGTCGTTGAAATTCGTTTCCATAGTTTACACAAGCGCGTCGTCGCGCGATCACCGATCTTTTTCGCGATAACTTGTAATTTTGCAAATTTAATGCACCGTTCTCTCTCTCTCTCTCTCTCTCTCTCTCTCTCTCTCTGCTCCTTGTCCCTCCCAGTGTTTCCCAGTTTTAGCGCAGGATAGATCGATTGCTTTGTCGGAACTGGTTTCCGATATACCGGCTACTCTGAAAGATATGAGTTCCGAATAGCAGATGCAGAATAGATTAACCGTTGTCATATAGACTGGTTGCAGTTTTGAACGAAAACTGTTGAAGGAAAAAACTTGACAATTATTATTAAGAAGCACGACTTTCTCTCTCTCTCTCTCTCTCTCTCTCTCTCTCTCTCTCTCTCTCTCTCTCTAATCATTAAACAGTATAATATGAAACATTTCGTTTGAAAGAAAGAGAAAAAGGCGTAAAAAAGAACGATTCGTGACAAATGTGATTCAATAAGCATTTATGTAATTGTTGTGAATACGATGCAACAGTCATTCATCAAATCTTATACAACGCATTTAACGTATATGTTATATGAGTCATGTTAAAAGGCTGATTAGTATTCCTTCGAAGATTGAAATAACTTCGATAGTGATTAATCGTAGACGGGTAGATACGTTTGTAGGTTAGTTTCGTGTGTGGTTGCATATATTTTCTCCGTATGTTTGGAGCGTGCTACATCCAAGCAATCAAAGCGAGTGTCTAAGAAAAAAAAAAGAAAAACTGCGGGGCGCATGCGCGTAACTTTTTGTGTTCTGCATAGCTGTCATTCGCGAGAAGAATGCGCGTGACAAAGGAACGAGGGCTGGTCATTACGCGTGATTGGAACGTGTCACTGTGTGTGCACCGTTCCTTTTTCCCTTTTATTTTCTACTTTTGTTTTTTTTTTTCGGATTCTTAAGGCTCTATTAAGCAGAGTGGTCGAAATCGAAAATGTACATACACGCATGTATGTTCGTATTCGTTCTGTGGAAAGATAGTGCATATAGGTAGACGCACATACGTACTACGTACATCACGATCACTGATATTGAAAATTTTTGTTAGTGACGCCGAAGCATAATGCATAGTTAAAGATTTAAAGATAATTTAATGAATTGATTTTCCTTAATTTGTCAAAGTTTATTCATTTGGGGAATTAGGATAAATTTTATTATTTTCACGATAAAGGAACGGGCTTTAATTTGTATTTATAAACTATAATATATTTTAATGTATTATAAAAATATAATTGCTTGCAGTTTACCATCTTTGTAGAGGAATAGACACTTTCATAGACTCAACCGATCAACGGCACGCAGATTTATCTGTACCCAATACGATTTATTTGTACAAAAAAGATGGAGATAAAAGTTCGATCTGATCATCGTTTTGCGTAATTATTAACGTAAGTCGTTCATGATGCCATTTTCACGGCAAAGCATCGAATCTGAATTTATACCGCGTCGGTGGAATTTAGCGAGAGTGCAAGGATGAGACTTGACGAATCGTATTGTATCTTTAATTAATATGGCAGCGCCGGGAGCCTCGAAAGCAGGTTAGGCTACTACATATATCGGTAGCCACTCATAGAGTCATTGTTCGACCGGTACAAAGGGCGCGTAATACATTGCATTGTTCGTGCAGGGCTGCACGGTCGGATTTTTCAAATTGTTTTTTCCTTCTTTGCCAGGGTGTTGGAATCGGCATGGAAACGAGATAGAACGGTGGCTATTTAACGAACCAGTGGGACAGTTCGCGCGCAATAAATACCTTCTCCACTGGTTATTTCAACTCGTAACTGTGAGAAGAGTTTATGGCTATATTAAATCTTATATTCAATAAATATGCACGTAGAGATATTAAAATAATACTTTGCAATTTCGAGGGATTCGTTCTCGGCAAAGAAACAGTGTATAAAAAATGTGTGCACACAATCGTATCTTCGAACGCAGGAATAATCTTTCTTCCTCTGATCAGCGATAATTTTTTGATTAGCGACTCTAGCGACCTTTTTATGCATACATATATACATACATACATACATACATACATACATCATGTAGCAAGCAGTGTTGGTCGTACAATTATTGTACAGGTTGATATATCTCAGCAATAGAATTGGAATAATACTTTAGGAATTCCGAATCCTTTGTTTGAATGAAATTTTAATTAATATTCGCATAAACGAACTCCAGTCGAATTAATTCATTTGAACACGAACTTCCGTCACGAAAAATGAATGAAAAATTGCAAGGAGAGTATACGTACGCAAAAAAGAAATTGTAGTTGTAAAAAGAAACTGTTTGTCCTCTGATAAGTCTAGATAAACGAAGCTTCGTACTACGTGGCCACGAGTCTCTCGTAAAGAACTGAAGGGTTGTTGTAATATGCCGTACGAACATTATGCAACGACGTTGCGTGATAACACGACAGAAGAAGTTGAAGTTTCTTGACGGAGGTGCACGCGAGCTCGAACAATTAGCCCGATGCGCGTACATACATACAAAGATATATATATATATATATATATATATATATATATATATATATATATATCGTCGAATTTCTCGAATTTATCGATCAATCGCCGCCTACGATAGCCTCAAGATGAATCACACCTCCCCCGCTCCGTTACGATGCCCCTGCAATCTTATAGTTCGGAATATATGCGATTGATGTTCAACCGGGCAGATTTCGAACATTCTAGCATTCTGTGTATTTGACAGTGAATTTGAAATTGACATTCAACTCTTGACTCGAATGGCGGCGGTAGATCAAAATTATGTTTGATGCAAATTTACTAGCGTGCAGTCGTAGTATGCTGGTTTATTTTCTTAAAGCTTGAAATCTCTCGTCGTGTAATTGCTGTAATATACATTCCAAATATCAACAGTGTCAATTGTCCTAAAATAGCTGAATATGAAACCGAGAGATATGTACTGTTGAAACACACTATAAAGAATAACTATGTTCTCAAGTGTTAAAAATATCTGTATTAAGAATATCTGTATCTTTAATTTATTAAAAAATTCTCCAATATGAAATACACGAAATATTATCTGAAAATACAAATATTCAGCGTAGTAATCGATTAAACACTTGAAATCTCCAAATATTCGAAATATTCTGACTTTCCAAAGAACACGTAAATCTTGAAGAATGTTACTCGAGTAGTGCTTCGTCCACAAAACTTCCAAAATTATCAAAAAGTTTCAAAATAGTAGCATCGCCAATATTACAACGACGATATTCTTCGATGAGGCAATAACACGTTGATGTATGGGTCAAGGGTCGAATTCGAGCCCTTTCTATTAGATATAGACGTTGCGCCAGACAACCGGCAAAAACTGAATCTGAGACGGCGCGCTATTTATCCGCAGCTTCTGCAATATCGGATCGACGTTACGATCGATACGCTATCTTACATCGTGCACCGATCTGACGTATTAATTTCCGCAGAATTTCCACCTGGTAATTCGATCTAAATCGATCGCG